AATTCGCTAGCAAATCGCTCGATTCGCATTTTATGACGTCGGCCTAAAAATTCGCAAGATCTCGTCCTTGGTCCCAAGGATCGAGAAAAGTTAGCACCCTGCGTCTTCATCCCAGTTTTCTAGACGGTGAGCATGAATGAGGCCGAATTACACTCACCACCTGGTCCCGTGTATTCTTCTTTCGTTGTTCCGGGGGGGGGGATATATTGGGATTGTGACCCTGTGCAGTTACTTCACCATCCCTCGTTCTCATTCGTCACCATGTACCTTTTTTTCGAAAAATTCATTGGAAAAACGCGTGTTAGTCCGCATCAAAAGGTAAAAATAGCAAGTGGTGAACTCAAGATCACATTAGGCAGGCATGGGATGCAATCAAAAGAAAATGCAGACGAGAACAAAATATTGATTCGGTTTAAAGGACCGAGTGCAGGTTGTCCGCAGGTCAAAGAATTGGCCGGCAAAAGTTTTCTGCGTCCTCCTCCTCATTAATCGATCGCTTGTGCCACCACCGAGCTTGTATCGAGGGACGTTTGGCAGAATTATATATGCCCTCTCACAGCTAGAAAAAGGCTTTCATAGTGAGTGATTGAGGTATTTGAGGTTTCATTATACTTCGTTGCGGTTTGAACTTCTATATTACTGTTTGTTTTTTTTTTAGTTTTGCTGCTTTCCCCGATAAATAAGTTCCTTCACTGCATCGTTGTTTTTAGTCTCATTAGAACGAGATTAGACGAGAACGAATGGTTTCGCTGAGATGTCCAATTCGCAACGCGGTAAACACAACACCAACAGCTTCAGTAAGTTTATGAGGATGTTCAGCCGTCGCTCATGTTGTTAGGAGGACATTGAAAGCGAGCCACTTACAGAACTTGGGATCGCCTTAGGGAAGAGCAGGAATTCTGGAGGGGGGGGGACGTGGGCCAAATTTGCTCTCCTTGTCGTTTCTCCCCTCTCTTGGGCCTCGTGCTAGTTCTAGCGTCATCACCTGCCAGCGATTTTTGACAGGAACTCTGGGAAAAATCGCCTAGTGCTTAATCCTATTCTCAACAAAAAGCAGACCCCTTCGAAGGCTCGATCCTCATTTCAAAGAGAAAGGGTCGTTACTCGCGGTTTCAGATGCATTGCCACAACAATTGGCCCCATATCTTACGCTAGCGCTGCGTTCAGCTCTAAAACTATAGGAGAAGGATGAGATATGTTAGGTATTTTTAGTATGACGTGGGTGAATCCGTTATGCCGTTGCCTACGTCAATAAGCAGTGGACGATCTGGTCTGGTAAGCTATGTCGGTTCATAGTAGTGAATCTTTCCCATGTTTAGCAGTTTATTGCCGTTTTGTTCCAGCCAAGCTATGGACGGGATGCGTTTCGATTTTTTCAAGACAGGACTATCCGACGGGTAATTTGGCTCGAGCTGGGTGTGGACGTTTTTTTCTCGGTAAAGGCAATATTTTTAGGTCCGACGTCCACGACTTGTCGCTACTGATAATTCAAACTATGCTGAAGCAGGCCCTTCGGGAACCGTCTCAACTGTGAGTCTTCCTGAAGTTATTTAAGAATATGTGAGGACCGCATTTTATGTCTGAATCGAATAACTGTCGTAATTTTGAACATGTCTCTGAATTTTCACACAGTTTGCACAAACTACCTACTATCAGGTGGATGGAGGGCCAGTCCAAATGACAACGAAAGGGCATGGGTTCAATCGCGGATTGAATAAGCATCGCGACACTGGTGGGTTGAGATTGCCATGCAGTTACGTTTCGTTTCGCTTTTGTATCGAAATTTTCAACAGTTCCGAGGTCGGGTCATATTTTGCGCTCTTGTGATTCTGAGATATTGGGATATTAAGAGATGGAGATTTGGTCGAAGGACCGCACGATGCGGAATTTGGTGGGTCGATGAATTTTACTACCGCGGGGATTGCCTAAGTGTGATCCGACCCTAATTCGCAAGATGGAGATTCAGTCGAACGACCGATGCGGCACATTGTTGCTTCAGAAGAGGGCAAAGATAAAATGTTCGGAGTTCATTCGTCTCTCCATCGTGCCATGTTGGCCTTTGATACAGCAGTCCTTTTATCTTGTCGTATGGGACTGAGGTACCCCTGTAGGTGCAGTCGCACTTTGCGACTCACTTGTATTTCGTTTACGTTTCGAACATGGAGTAGATACGTATCGATCGCGCCACCGCCTGATCGATACATATCTACCCCATGGTCGAACCGCAAGATAGCCGCTTGTATGACCGCACCCAGATTGATAGAAATTACGACAAAGACTTTCCTCCTAAGCGCTATCCTTCCAATAGGTTGTTTCAGTCAGAATTTGGATACAATTTCTCATTTGATCAGTACAGCTTGTGTCTTGTATGGGATGGTCAGTTAATTCAATTCTTTTAGGTGCAACTGGAGCAGCTGGACCGTCACCATTTTTCGTTCGTGAGTCTCCTTTTCAAATGTTTAGATGACATTCAAGTTGTTATTCAAGATTTTGTGGAATTTTTCTTCTGATTGTTTTTTTCTCGCTGTTACTTTTTTGGTTAGTGTATTGTGGTTGCAGTTGCAGTTTTCTTCAGGACCCCCGGAACGGTGGACAGAGTAAATCTGAATGACAGATCAATGCGAGAGGGCATTATTGTAGGTAAGTACAGCGTGATGCACTTTGGGAAGGAAATGCTATACGAAGTTATTCTGGTGAAGCGGAATTTGGCGTGAGGGGGGGGGTGGGGTGGGGGGGGGGGGGGGGGGGGGGGGGGGGGGGGGGGGGGGGGGGGGGGGGGGGGGGGGGGGGGGGGGGGGGGGGGGGGGGGGGGGGGGGGGGGGGGGGGGGGGGGGGGGGGGGGGGGGGGGGGGGGGGGGGGGGGGGGGGTCACTTTTTATGGCGAATACCCTTTCTATACGAGTTTCTTGCGGTACTTAATTAGACGGAATGCGCATCTTTTGAGCTCCTTGCATATCCGTTGGACTTTCATTTCTTGATTGAAGGGTTTTTTTGGTTCGTATTTGCATAATCCTTCATTAAGTTCACTATCGCGACACTGGTGGGTTGAGATTGCCATGCAGTTACGTTTCGTTTCGCTTTTGTATCGAAATTTTCAACAGTTCCGAGGTCGGGTTCATATTTTGCGCTCTTGTGATTCTGAGATATTGGGATATTAAGAGATGGAGATTTGGTCGAAGGACCGCACGATGCGGAATTTGGTGGGTCGATGAATTTTACTACCGCGGGGATTGCCTAAGTGTGATCCGACCCTAATTCGCAAGATGGAGATTCAGTCGAACGACCGATGCGGCACATTGTTGCTTCAGAAGAGGGCAAAGATAAAATGTTCGGAGTTCATTCGTCTCTCCATCGTGCCATGTTGGCCTTTGATACAGCAGTCCTTTTATCTTGTCGTATGGGACTGAGGTACCCCTGTAGGTGCAGTCGCACTTTGCGACTCACTTGTATTTCGTTTACGTTTCGAACATGGAGTAGATACGTATCGATCGCGCCACCGCCTGATCGATACATATCTACCCCATGGTCGAACCGCAAGATAGCCGCTTGTATGACCGCACCCAGATTGATAGAAATTACGACAAAGACTTTCCTCCTAAGCGCTATCCTTCCAATAGGTTGTTTCAGTCAGAATTTGGATACAATTTCTCATTTGATCAGTACAGCTTGTGTCTTGTATGGGATGGTCAGTTAATTCAATTCTTTTAGGTGCAACTGGAGCAGCTGGACCGTCACCATTTTTCGTTCGTGAGTCTCCTTTTCAAATGTTTAGATGACATTCAAGTTGTTATTCAAGATTTTGTGGAATTTTTCTTCTGATTGTTTTTTTCTCGCTGTTACTTTTTTGGTTAGTGTATTGTGGTTGCAGTTGCAGTTTTCTTCAGGACCCCCGGAACGGTGGACAGAGTAAATCTGAATGACAGATCAATGCGAGAGGGCATTATTGTAGGTAAGTACAGCGTGATGCACTTTGGGAAGGAAATGCTATACGAAGTTATTCTGGTGAAGCGGAATTTGGCGTGAGGGGGGGGGTGGGGTGGGGGGGGGGGGGGGGGGGGGGGGGGGGGGGGGGGGGGGGGGGGGGGGGGGGGGGGGGGGGGGGGGGGGGGGGGGGGGGGGGGGGGGGGGGGGGGGGGGGGGGGGGGGGGGGGGGGGGGGGGGGGGGGGGGGGGGGGGGTCACTTTTTATGGCGAATACCCTTTCTATACGAGTTTCTTGCGGTACTTAATTAGACGGAATGCGCATCTTTTGAGCTCCTTGCATATCCGTTGGACTTTCATTTCTTGATTGAAGGGTTTTTTTGGTTCGTATTTGCATAATCCTTCACTAAGTTTACTCTTTTTTGGCATTTACAATGTTAGCGAGTGTGCCTCTCAAACACTCACGGTTTTGGGAATTGCAAAATAAGTGTTGGGTTCCTTTGGTTCACAATTTCATTGTCCGTGCCTACCCTCTTCAAATCCATCATCGTGTACATGAATCGGATTTTAATTGCTTGGCAACGCAGTCCTCACTAAGGGTGCACCGGGGTAGGGGAGTAGGCATGAGAGGGCGAAAAAAGTTTTTTTCGGAACAGGGTTCCAAGTAGGGCCTAATTATCTTCGCATAAAGAGGATCTTCCGGAGCCGCTCTTTGACCTAATGAATCTCTCCCTGTTTTCAAATTGATTTGAGCAATAAAGTGACATAAGCACTCTTAGGTAATGCAAAAAATTGATAACTCTGTTTGATTGTGCTATTATAGTGGACGATATGAAGAGAGTTTGGACGAATCTTAGGCGCACGTATCGGAGAATGCGAAAAATGCAGAAGAAGGATCCGATGAAAGCGAAGCGGTGGCAATTCCTTGATACGATGAGCTTTCTGAGGAATCACTCATGCAGCTCGGCGGCATCAGACTGCGATTCGGAGAGTTCTTCCTCACCCGATGGTCTCGAAACTTTCTCACAAGGGTACGCCACTCACTCCGATTTCAACTAAGTTAGTCACTACTAGGACATATCATTTGAAACCTGACGGTTGAGCTGATTGGTTTGCAAAACGTTTAAATGAAAAGAAATATGCAGTAAACTTTTTCTACTACCAAAATGGAGAAATTTAGAGGAAATCCTGCGAACGATGAAGTAGAGCCGCTGTCATCGGAACAAAAAGTGGAAATAACAGCGGCAAGCAATGCTGAAAGGACCGCAATGAAAGTGAGTTAACAAGTATCTGGCGAAAAAAAACAACATTATTAGTTATATGCGACGCTTCAAGGGTTCAATCTTTTCGGTCATTTCGGCATGCTGCGATAGCAAACGTTCGAAGAGCGGATTCCCTTTCTTCAACTATCATCTGATAAGAAATACCATGAAATTGTAATATCAAAAGACAGAAAGGGATGCTTTATGGAAGGCCTTTTCTCGCTTCCTTCTATAAGGATAGGTGGTCGATTTCGAAAGGGAAAGCAAAGTTCTGAGGGGCTTGAACTGCTTACGTTCCCAATAGAGATGGTTTGAGAAAAAGCTGTTGGGACTGGCGTGTTTGTTTCTCACCTTGGTCGAAGCCTGTGAAGCATAAGCAAAATCCGAAAATGGGTATGGTTAACCTTTTCACAAATGGTGAAAGAACAGCGCGTGTAGAGCGATGGTATTTCAGTAGCTGCAGGTGCTATGGGATGGATTAAGGTGATTTTTTGAGATAAACGAAAGCTGAGCTCGAGTTGTGGCAGAGGCCGCTGTTTATGACTTTTTCGTTCGTCTAGCCATCTTACCTTCAAATCTCAAATTCTTTCCCCACGAAATCCGTACGCGATCCGTTTGGTGACTCTCAATACGAAGTTCATTCCGAACCAATAACCCTGCTCTGAAATGTGTCGGAACGATTACCTTGATATCGTTAAAGGGCTCTTGAATCGCGCTAATGAATTCATTAGCATTTATCTGTCGCATTGTTATCTGCTTTTACTGCCTAAGTTATTTGACTTTTGTTGTTACTGTTATCTTTGTTTAGAGAAAGGAAGATAGAGGGACACAGCTTAACGGACATTGGACAGTCCGAGATTTGATCCAGGTGTCTGTGCCCGAGATCGACCGCCTGATCAATACCAAGCAAAGAGAAATCTCCTTGATGCTTGAAGCCCAGGAGGACCTTCGCGGAGATCGCCCTTCAGCGGGGCATGGACAGTCGAAGAAACCGTACCTCTATCGTATCAATCTCGAAGATATCGAAGGTTTATTTTTGCAATTAATTTGTTTTATTCGAATATGTCTGGTGTGAAAAGCGCTTAATAGAAATAGAAATATTGCCTGGGAACTTATTCCTTTTTTGACGGTGTCTTCTGAAGTGCATTGTTTCAGATAATTTGACGGTAGAACTTGCAAAAGTGTACGATAAGATGGACGCTGCACGAGAAGAAGTGAAGGGAAACGTGGATTATCAGAGGAAATTGTTGGAGTAAGTTTGTGGAGACCTTATCGACATCTCATTTCGTTATATTTCCTTTTCACAATATTCAGTTCTATTAAATCTCTCCTAGACACGAAAAGTATCAGAATTTTCGCCACATTCGATTATTCTCACACTTGTTACCTCAGTCCTCTCCTTTTTCAATCTTACCCTGGCTCGTCCTTCCCTTGCTGTTCCTTCTTTTTCTTGTTTTGAATAGTTCTATCTGTCCCCCTTTCATCTTGTGCATATCAAGAAGTCTTGGAGCTATGACGAAGCTCTATGTACTATCTCTGTCTCACTTGTTTCTGCCTTACTGCTCCCATCTGTCGTTTAGTGTGCTTCATTTTTTCCAAAGTTGTGTATTATTTCACGTTCATGTGCAACAGTCCATTGATCTTTATGGCCTTCTGTCTGTTTTTTTTCAACTTCGCCCATCTTTCCCATTGATTTTTCTTTAGCTGATTCCTCTTCTCGCTATTCTTCCCTTCGGATATCCCTTCTTATATGTATCTTTCCCTCAATTCGTTCTCTCCTTACTTTTTCTCTGTTCGTCTTACCTTTGAACCATCTTGCTATCCTTCTGCATATCTCCTGAGAACACTGATGAGGAGGAAAGATGGTTCAAAGGAAGGCGACGCAAACAAGCAAGCATATCAGTATTATAAGATGAATTTGTTTTAGAGATGAGATCTCCTCGGTTCCGCCGCAAGTCATAGAAGGGCTGAAGAAGAAGTATGGAGGCGTCCTCTCTTCAGGGGAGATCTTGTAAGACGTGATACTGAGATTTTGAAAGTCTGATGTTGCTCAAATGGACTTTATAGGCTTTTGAAACGACTTGCGCAAGGGAGCTGTTCGAAGCTCAAGGGAACAATATGTATGGCGATTTTCGGCGCTTCGTTGAAACTTCGGAAGGTGTACCATCGGGAGGCGATGTCGTTGTTCATCAAGGAAAGCATGCAGTCAGGTCAGCTGCAGGTGCTTCTTGATGCGTACGATGACTTCGTTTACTACCGGAAAGCCGAAGAACTCAATAATGTTGAAGGTAAGCTTTTACCCATCCAAGAGAGCTCCTTCAAATAGGAGCTACTTCGAGTCGTTCTGCCGTGGGCAGGTGCGATCGATTCATGTGATGCTGAGACTAAGGCGTCATTTACAATATTCGTCGCTGTCATTGAGAGGTAAGCTTGTTAAACTCTTCGTTTTCTTTTCACCGTTGGATTTTTGATCTTTCTTTTAGGTACGCCGATACACTGAAACTTAGCTGTCCAGAACCACGCCTGCGGCGAGATGAATATGATGAACGGCAAATAGACGAGTTTTTCGATGAAGAAAAGAAGAAGAAGAAACCAAAATTTGATATCGAATATCTTGCACAAAGGTAATGTCTTTCTACTGTTTCATTTATTTTTTTTCATTTCTGCACGGTAAGGTACCGGTTAAACGAACACCGCCTCGGGAACTTTTTTTTTTTTTCTTTTTTTACCCCCCCATCTTTTCTTTTTATCGTTTTTTAAGTTTACATGGGGAAGCTAGAATACCAAAGTCGCTCCGTCAGGATTGGCGATTGTGCAGGTCGCCGGACCTCTGACGGGCACCTTTGGTATTTCGAGCTTCGAATGGAACTTATGAGAAAGGCACTTCGTGGTATTTCGTGACCTTGAGTATCTTCACGGCGACCGTAGCTGACCCCCAGGCTCGGGGTTCGTTTAAATGTCTCGCCAGTGTGCGCATGTAAGTTAAATTACACTTGTAGTAACTCAATGGATGACTATGCTATAGGAGGAATTCACGGTTAGAATGAATGTCGAAGAAGGAGTAATTCACCTAGTTGAGGACCGGCGGATCTCCTTGAGGGTGCGGACTGACGCGCAATTGGCACCGAAAGATTTGACCTCGACGACCTAGCAGGGCTCATTCTTGGCGCGGTCGGCGGGGTTCGCTCAGCGACTATCAAATCACTCCGCCGCAGGTCTATACACGGGCAAGGAGGGAGTCCCGTTTCTCATGTTTTTCGTATTTTCGATGTACCACTTACATCCAAAGTTATTTGAAATGGATTGCTTTTCCATCATGAATTCTGCCTTTAAGAAGAGTATCTTCGGATAATGAAAGCTCGTACGGCCGCGGCAGAGAAGATCAAGAGATGCGAAGCTGAAGTGCAGTCTACGAAGACGCTTTTGAAGGATCTCGAGCCGAACAACTCGAAGCAAAGAGGCTCTTGAGACTGTATTGAGTGCTGCTGAAGAAGCGTATGAGGTAAATCACTGCACAAAAATCTCAGTATCGATCCGGTAAACGCAGTATTTCAGAAAGCATTCAAAGAGCAGGAGCAAGTGGAAATGGAATATGAGGAGTTCATAAGCCAAAAGCATTTGCCGCATCAAAAAAAGCGAAGATATAGAAGAAAGTCTTCTGCAAAACGCTTCGAACAGTTCAACAAAGCGTGCACAGGCGACGCTGAGCTCGAGCTCCGTCGAGTTGTTCGACAACACGTTGAAGTCAGAGCCAGATCGTACATAATGAAGTTTATTCAAGATTTTTTGTGCCCTGTGTTCGCTTATATGAAAAAATGAAGAGATGAAATTGAAGGTTTTCTCACAGAGATTGAGTAGTAGATCTAGTTTTCAGTGCGATCGTTGTCCTGTTGTGTGACCTCAGTCATCCGTCAAAAATAGCAGAGTCAATGTTCACACCTTCTTGCTGTCCGTCGATTTCAGTGGCGAAATCATTTGCATGGTATAAAACTGAACGAAATGAATGCTACCTGAATGCGGGGCCTACAGAATGTTTCCCAAAGCACCAGAAGAAGATTCGAAATTGTTGGTGCTGCGAACGGGAAACGGTTGATGGACACACACGTAATAATTCTATAGGCGATCACACCAAAAAGTTTCCGATGAATATGAAGTGAATTTAAAGGCACAGTCCGCGACCGAACAGCTTTGGGTGATTGCGCTCGAAAATGAATGTAATTGTGATAAATGGCCCACTAGATATGAAACAGAACAAAAAGGTTCTAGAAGTCGTTATATTCATACAAAGTGCTGATGGGCGGGGTTTGCGCTCCATTCGAGATTCCCTTCAGCTCGCCTTATCGTTTGATGTAGTACAATACAGTAAAGTACTGTAAAGAGGTGGATCCAATCAATGAAACCTAAATAAGGGCTGGGCCCCAACTCCGCCCAAATACCAGCGAGCATATGGTTTTAGGAATTTTAGCAATTTTTTGCATTCTTTCATTACGATTTAATCAGTCACCTCAACTGCTATCATTTTCGGATGCGAACCTGTTCAATCGCGGAGTGTGCCCTTGAATCCTCGCATTCAACTCTGAACAGTCACTCTGAATTTGGAGTTCAGTTTTTGATCGCCAGGCAGGAAGAAATTTTTCTTTCGTAAAGTAGTGCGGCCCAAAGCCCTTCCGGCAGGCGGTGGATGGCGACCCGACTCCTAATCCGGCGTACCCACTGGGTTTTTCGAGCGAGTAACTCCACAAGGAAAGCGGCGGGTTTCCCGGCGTTGAGTAAAACCTAGTAAATCCGCACCCACTGTGATTCTCTTGCAGTGCTTGGAACAGCTGAATAATTTTATATTGCATTTATCCATTTTATGCAACAATGTCCCCAAGTCAATGCACATAGAGAGCTTACACGTAAACAATTTTGACATCAAAACAGCAGCAACATTTTTATACAGTCAGAAACATTCGGTGGGAAAATTAAAAAAAATAAAGGGGTGGTCGGTAAAGGAATCGTAGGCTTCGGTTTTGACTGAAATATAACCTTCCCCTTTTGCAACGCACCAGGTAATCGCTGTAGTCAGCGGAATTGAGACTAGGGCTTTACCCGTAATTTTAAGAATGGAATCTGCCAGCAGTTACCCTCATCACCCTCCATTGCTCCTCCTCGTACAACTTTGAACGGTCTTTGGAAATCGAGTAAGGGCAGGGTACATATTGTGTGAAATCATATAATTTCCCCAGTTTTCTGAGTGATAAGTCAAGGGTAGATAGACTGAATGAAACCACTGGGGAGTTCCGTAGTTGCGAAAATGAATTTAGTAGGCTGCGGCAACTGCAATTGCAGTAGCCCGGCTTTTGTTAAGGAGTTCATTCTAGAGTTTTTCTTGCATAGTTATTTTTTCACTCATTACCATACCCCTCCTGGTTACAATCCGTATCGCCTAATGAGATCTACCAACCATATAAATATATACAAATGCACTGCGGCATTGACCTTTTTCCGAGCCCTCAGAAGTCTGAAAATCAGATTGGTCCTCCTGATTATTTATTACATATATGGCGGAGGAGGTTCAAAGTGCTGGTGAGCTCCTTTGAATTGCTCTTGGTAGTCGATAGGATTCACTTTTAGAATCTCCTGTCTGGGATAGAGATTCCCTGAAGGGCCAGGCACATCCGGTGAGGTGAATTCGATTCGTTGTGCTGGTTCAGCAGTGGGCGTGTAGATGGTGTAAAGTTGAGGACGAGGCTCTGAAGCTGAGTTTCCAGGATTCGGGGGCCTCCTCATGGATTCAGATGCAGATGGAGCTGATGGCATCGCGCGTGGAATCACTTGAACTGGTACAGCTGTCGGTGGCGGCGCACGGCTCGGATTCCTGGAAAGTGAAGGCTTGAAATAATGTTCGCCTCATCGCGTTCGGATTCCCGTTGAACAGAAAAAGTTGGCAAAAGTTTATCCCCGCTAAGTTGTGCACTGTCCAGGGTAGAAAAGCAGCCGCTGAATTTTCGCGACCATGCAACCTACAATAACGCTCCAAAAGCGTACCCGCACATTGGCTATCTCATTTGAATAAACAAATCTGTGAAACCGCTTATAGTGCAGTTTGCTCCTCTCCTCTATTGAAGCCTGAGCCTCCTCATTATGCCGCCTGCATTATGCGATACATAGCCTTCTACAATTTTTTTGGACGTCTGGTTTCTTCCCTTCGGACTAGTCTATACTCGCGGCGCGCGAACATTGTGAGACACGGTGTGAGCAAGTGGAGGAGACGGAGGGAGTGAAGAGAAAAACCCAAAGTGAACAGCTGCACCCGTTTTCTCCTCCCCTCGCCATTCGCTCCCGTCAAGTCCGGGGTACGTCTAGGGTCCATATCCAACACCTGCTTTGCTTGTTAACTATAAAATTGAAATCAATCTCCCTTCTGATGCGGCGCCCCCCAAAATTGCTTTCTAATTCCATTTGGAGTCGTTGTGGCATTTAAATTATGTCCTATAATATGAGTTGGGTCAGCCGAAGTACAGGCCGTGTTCATAAACTGCTACACAACCCTGCTATCAATTGACAGACCCCGGAGTGGTGGAAGGCCCTGCTGCCGATCCTGGGCGAGATTTATCTGAGGTTTACCCCAAACCGTGTGCACTCGGAATTGCTCGGCCACAACACCACCTCAGCTCCTTTGCTCATTCGATGCCAATACCTAAGTATTATTAATGAATGGACTGAACGATTATACAAGGAAAGTCAGTCTGGTTATCCCTGTATAGCCCCGAATCTTTCGAGCTCGGGGTCATCTTTATGAACAGCATTCATTAAATACACTTGAACAAAAAGGACAAAATACCGTCCAAGTGTAAAATCTGTGCGCACTCACGTTTTAGGAGTATCCCGAAGATAATGGAAAAAGTTCTTGAGCGCAGGCCATAGAACGAGGACATTGAGCGCGATTATCCCAACAACGGCTCCACCAGCAATTGCTGTATCTTCTCTGATCTCTAGAAAACGAAGCAGGTCAATCGTAAATGCTCCACAAGTAAGGTTCATGTAATCAACGATGTTGCTGGGTGACGTGGGCGCTGACTCAGCGCTACGTTACAGCCTGACATGGTGATGAAGTGGAACAGAACTCACCTTTATCACAGGCACCGGTCCACGGGTTCAAATCACGGCATTCTCTGCCAAAAAAGCTGAGCGACGGTTTGATTTCCATGACTATCAACAGCCATATGGCTAGAGCTGTCAGCGCTAGCACGAAGAAACCCTAAAGTAGCTTTCGTGATCAGCGAGGTTGAAAGCCAAGAAATTTTGAATGAAGTAAAGGTAGCTATCAACTAGCCAGTGACTCGAGTGACTAGGGACTTTGTATTGGTTCCTCGCAGTCAGCTAATTTGATACTTACAAGCAGGAACGAGAAGCGAGTTCTTCCTGAGGTTTCTTGGTTTCTTCGGTTTCGTCTTCACTAGCGAGAGTTTCAGCATCTACTGATCCCTTTTTAACTCAATTACCCCAGCCCATTACCTATGAATGGATTTAAGGGTCAAGGGCTCCACTAATTGGAGTCTTCAAATAAAGTAATGGTTCAGGGTGTGGGGCAGCAAAGAACAAGCACAGACGCTCTCCAGTGGGGCTTTGTCAGTTCGCTTCAGGCGTACCCTTCGTCGGTAAACCCGTCTCACATAGTCTCTCTTAGTCCTTATTTCCCATCTTCCAAGAATGTTCAGTGTTTGG